CTCCTCCTCCTCTTTCTCCTCCTCCCCCTCCTCTTCCTCCTCCTCCTCCTCCTCCTGCTGCTGCTGCTGCTGCCACTGCCACCAAGGTTGGCTTAAAACCATAATCCCTCCATTTTCTACCTCTTAAGTACTTGGGATTACAAGCTTGAGCTACTGGGCCTAGTCATTATCTTCACTTTTCATACTGGAGGAGTTCAGAGGAAATAAGGAACATGTTGGACAGCAGCAAGCAAGGTAACTTTTATCTTTCTTTCCTTCTTTCTTTCTCTCTTTCTTTCTCTTTCTTTCTTTCTTTCTTTCTTTCTTTCTTTCTTTCTTTTTGGTGCTGGTACTAGGGCTTGTACTCAGTGTTATCCCTTAGATTTTTTGCTCAATGTTAAGAGGCGTGACTCTCTATTTCTAGCTTTATGCTGATTAATTAGAGATAAGAGTCTCACAGATTTTCTTGGCTTTGATCTGTCTCCAGAGTTGCTAGGATTACAAGCGTGAACCACTGGCTCCCAGCTAACCTTTATCTTTTGAAGTGAGACAATCATGTCAGTCTTGAAGGAAACAGAAACCTGGGTAGATGAATGGATAATGTGAATAAGCCATAAAGATGAGACAGAGGTGAGGAAGAAGGTGAGACAGACAGGTGGACTGAAGGAATGATCTCAAATTTGAAAAATAGGAATGAAATTTTTGAGTGAATGTTTTTTGCCCACTGATAAAGGACCTTGAAAGTCAAACTAAAGGGCATTTCAACCCAAACTAATTCCTAACTAATTATTATTTTGATTTTGTGAGCAGGAAAGCAGCAGCGTGAGGGCTGTGGGCTGAAGGGGACTACTTGTTGTGGTTGAATGGGGTGGTTCACTGGAGAAATACAGGCTGGGCTCTGGGGTCTGAAGCCAGGCACCATTCTAGGCAGGATGGATGAGAGGCCTGGGTGAAGGCTGGTGTTCCCCTGTCACAAAAAAAATGACAGATTCAATGATGCTGATGTAATTGTCATTAAGAGAGTATGCAGACCAGAGGCCCACCTAAACACTAGGCAGGAAGGAGAGAGGAAAGGAGAGAGAAAATTATATGCATGGGGCCCCTTCTCTGTGCTAGACGCCAGGCTGGGTACTTTCTCAGCTAGTCTTCCTTAGCTGGCTCAGAATCATAGAACCCTAGGACACACTGAGAGAGTGGGAGCAAATGGAGCCACCAAGTTTTCTGGCTGTCTGAGCTAAGGCCATAGATTTGATGTCGTAAGCATTGAGAATGAAGTATCTGTACAAGAGCCCAGGTCAAATGTCTATAGAAAAGCCCAGGTCAAGTATGAGGATCCTGTGAGAAGAAGCAAGCTCTAGCTGGGGAACCATATACACATACCTTACTTGGTTCAGGGAAGACAGCTGAGGGGTAACAATCAAGGGTCTCTGGTAAGAGTGAGGACAAGATGGCCTTTGCCTTCCAAGGACTATTTGAGTATTTATAACATCCTTCACAGGCCATGCAACACTTTCAATAAGGGCAGATAGTCTTGAGCATCCAGTGAAAATGTACCAAATGATTGCATGGACCAAATGATTTCATGTTTTAAATGACCTTGTGGGCTGGGCATTTCCCACCCACTGAGCACAAGCAACGAGCTGAAAGAAAAGAGGAACTGGCAGAAGAGAAGGGATACAGGTATGTCCAGAATAGAAGATGTGATTATCATCTGAGACATGACAGGTTGAGAAAACTCCATTTGATTCGTTAGAAATTAAACCATGGTGAGAAGATGGCAGTGGGAAACAGATTGAGGAGCTGGGTGGCAGGGCTTTGAGGAAGGAGTGACAAGCAAGAAAATGATACATCGATCTGAGGAGAGGTATGGAGGGAGGGGAGCAGGAGATGGTGATTCCTTGAAATACAATGAGTTTCTAAATGGTTAGATAATGACACAGAAAAGTGACAGCTTCAATGATGCTGGTGTAATTCCCATTAAGACAGTATGCACTGTAAGAAAAGCTTACACAAAGTACCTGACACATATTGAGATCTGAGGAAGGCTAGTAAGAAAATGGTATTACATACTGCAGTGTCAGGAACTCAGCTAAGACTTTGGCTTCTCTCCGGATTAATCTGCTTGAGCTCAAAGACCAGGGCAACTTTTTTAGCAAATCCAGTTCTGCTTCTTACAACTTCTATTGCCTTGAGCAAGCCATCCATTTCGGTCCTCCACGTCTGAAATGGGAATAGTAAAACGGCTGACCCTATTGGGTTATAATTAGTCATCATAAAAATTAGAATAATTTTTAAGGTGGGTGCTGATGGCTCACACTTGTAATCCTAGCTACTCAGGAGGCTGAGATCTGTGGATCACGGTTTGAGACCAATCCCAGGCAGGAAAATCCATGAGAGTCTCATCTCCAATTAACTAGCAAAGAAAGGCAGAAATGGACTCATGGCTCAAGTGATAAAGCACCAGCCTTGAGCAAAAACACTCAGGGACAGTAACCAGGCCCTAAATTCAAGTTCCAGGACCAACACACACACACACACACACATTGATTTTTTTTTTCATTTTTGAGACATGGTCTCCTTAGGTAGCTCAAGCTGGCCTTTGAACTCTCAATCCTCAAGTCTCAGCCTCCCATGTGCTACCAAGTCTGGCAACCATGTAGGATTATTGTGCGGATTTAATGAACTAGAACGTGCAAAACATTTAATGGATGCAGTACTAGTTACCTATTCAAGGAAATAATCTTCAGTCAGTCAGAGTAATCCTGGAAAATACCATGTACTGGCTACCAACGAATTAGCAGAATTTTGACACCAGAGGAGGCAAACATTATTATTATACACAACTTGCCATTGTGCAATATTTTCGAATGCTGTGTCAAATGCTGATCATGGTGAGAGACATGCAGCAGGGGATGGAGGTCCTTAAGTGCAGGATCAAGTGCAATGGTGAGCCCCCCTGGGACTCTGAGCCTGGCACTCAGACAATGCAGTCTGGCCATGCTCACGCTCCCTTCAAGGTTACAGCAGCTCCAGGGACTCTGCAGTGCAGAAGGCCTTCTTTCTGGAGAGAAAGAAAGCAAGCTGAAAAAGCATCCATCCTTTTATTTTATGGGTTTGTGTGTGTTTTAAATTGGTAATGGGTTTGAACTGAGGTCCTGGGTGCTTCCCTGAAGTTTTTCACTCAAGGCTGCCACTCTACTCCTTGAACCACCTCTCCACTTTTAGCTCTTTTGTGGTTAACTGGAGCTAAGAGTCTCACAAACTTTCCTGCCTGGCCTGGCTTCTAACCTTGATCCTCAGATCTCAGCTTCCTCAAGAGTAGCTAGGATTGTAGACATCAGCCACCAGCACCCGGCTCCATTTCCTTTTAAAAGGAAAACTGTTGTTTGTTGTTTCTGCAGAGAGAATTCAAGCTTTTAGCATGTCTGAAGTAAATGGGATTTTTTTATTTCTGAAAGAGATTTATTTTTCTTTCTTTTTAACTGTGTTGCAGGGATGTGTGAACATTCTGATTTTGGCATCTGTAGGTGAATTATTAAGGTAACTATTGAAGTTGAAATGCAATATCAAAATAAAAGGGATAGTACTTTGTTTTATAAAGCAAAGGTAGAATCTTTATATATAACTATTTGCAGAAGTTACAAATAAAAGTTCACAAATGTGCTCAAGATAGTTTAAAATTTCAGGTTGTAATGTTAGATTGCAATGTTATGTTTCTACTCCCTGAAGTATTCGTTTCTCGGCTTTGCTGATACACCCATCATGGCTGTACCACCACTGTAGACTTCCAAAGTGGCATTCATTCATTCACAAAACACTTTGTGACATCACAGAACATCGTTTGGTCCCAGGGATAGATGAGTGAAAACAAAATTCATCTCAGCACAGGTCAGGATGAACAGTCCAACCACACATAAAATGTTCAGAGGGTCAGATAAAACATAATCACCTGGTGGCCTTTGAAAGTCATGGTTAATAAATCTCATAACAAGTAATCTCCCGAGTTCAATGGCTTCTTAAAACACAAGTTTATTCCCCACTCTAGTTAACAGGTCTTCAGCTGCATTTGGTGGGTGGGCTCCATGTGGTGATTCAGGGACCCAAGTGGCCCTAAAGGTCTGAGACGTTTGCATTCAGGCAGCCAACTAGATGGAGGGGTTGTGCAGAAAGGTTATAGAAGTGAGAACTGTCGGTGCCATATGCCACTTCGACCTCATTCAGAAGTTAGTTATGGGCTACTTGAACTTCACGCTACAAATGAATCTTTCCCTCTGTCCTAGTCTTTTGAAGTTCTGTCCCTTACAGTGCTTGGATCTAATTCTGCATCTCTTCTGGGAAGTCTCTCTAAGCTCAGCACACAAACCTCCCTCTGTAATGCTCATAGTCTGCACCACACCAGAGCCTTTCCCACTCACCACCTTAACACCAAATTGTGTAGACATGGATTCATTTTCTAATGGAGTATACACTATCAGGCAGAAAAGCACCTGTTTCCTAGTGGGCACTCAGCTCATAATTGTTAGAGAGGGAGTATATGTGAGGCATATACTTATTGACTTAAGAGGAAATTGACTTGAGAAAAAAGTGTTTATTTGGCTCAGTTTCAGAGGTATCTGGCCATGGTCACTTGATCTGCAGAGACACAGAGATTGTTATGGCAGAGAAGGCCTGTTCACCTCCTGGTGGCCAGGAAGCAAAAAGAAGGATAGGAAAATAAGAGGCCAGGCTTCTGCTGTCCTCTTGAACAGCACCCCCCCCCCTCTCAACCCAATTTCCTCCCATAAGTCCTAGCTCTTAAAGGTCCCACCTATCACATCCCAATGGTGCCATGGGCCAGAGACCAAGCCTTTAGCATGTAGGCCTTTGGGTACATTCTGAATCCAAATCAGAACAGTAAGAGGATGAGGTACACCCATTCAAAGGTGTGGTCCATGGTCAAACTTTCCCTGAGTCTTGACTTTAATCAGGTACTTGCCTCTGACTCAGTGTTCTTACTCATAACCTGAAAACAATAAGGCCTTTACCTCATCTCCACCCAAAAGGGCCTGAGATCCACATGAGGTAATTCAGGTATGTACAGAAGGAGGGCCAGGGTAGGCTAGCCACTTAACTCACCACCATGAGGTGATGCTCACAGTGTTCCAGGGTTTGAAGCTCAGATGGCAAATCCACACTTGCCAAGAGGCTACCAAAACCCTACCTTGTGTTGGCAGGACAAGGGTGTGGGGAGGGAGTTACGTGGCTTCCTGGGCTACTTCTTAGGAGCTGAAGAGATTTTCCTAAATAAATAGAAAGAGGTAAGTCAGCAAATAACAACCCTTGGCTTTTGGCTTTCATGCTAGAGAAAGAATGTTTTTTCAAACAGAAAGGAAAGACTGACTGAAATGACTACAGTTGCAATTCAAGCTATAGTCCTAACATTATTTAGCTGCCCTAGAGAGAAGTATAGTCGTCCCTCAATATTCTCAGGGGATTGCATCTAAACCACTCCATACCAAAATCTACAGGTGCTTCCTCTACAGCCCTGACCTAAAATGGCAAGGTGTTTGCATATCCTCTAAATCATCTTTAGATGACTTCTAATATCTGATATAATGGAAGTGCTAGGTGAAATATCAGTTACACTGCCTTATTCGTGGAATAATCACAAATGAAGGGATCTATCCACATTCAGTGCTGGGATAATTATTTTTCCTGAATATTTTTTTTAAATCTGTGATTAGTTGGAGCTGAGAGTGCAGAACCTGCAGATACCAATGGTCAGCTGTGCAGTTGTCCTGCCCAGACCATAATAAATCCATTCACCTGCTACTAGGGGCTTTTGCTTTTGCTTGTGCCTTTGGATGACTCCTGAAATATCGCACATCATACACAGGAAGCAGCACAGAGACCCACAAGACTCCTTGGATGGAGAGGCCTGAGGAGTATTCATGATGGCAGGCAGGTGGCTCTGTGATCAGTTCCACCCTGGAGCCTGAGCAGAGTATGATGCCCTTCAGATTCCCTAGCTGGGAACCTGAGGGTAAATACAAGCTGCCTCCTAGAGAAGCCCACCAGCTCTTCTTGTTAATATTAAGCATTGACCTTGCACAGTAAATGCAACTTCAGATTGTTCAACATGGTCTCTTGGGATGGGCACCAGTGGCTCACACCTGTAATCCTAACTGCTCAAGAGGCTAAGATCTGAGGATTGAGATTCAAAGCCAGCCTGGGAAGGATATTCCATGAGACCCTTACCTCCAATTAATCACCAAAAAGTCAGAAATGGAGCTGTGGCTCAAGTGATAGAGCACTGGCCTCTAGTGAAAAAGCTGAGGGACAGCACCCAGGCCCTGAGTTCAAGCTCCATTACCAGACACATACACAGACACACACGCGTGCACGCACACACATGCACACATACACACACACACACACACACACACACACAAAACCCTTGATGGGGAGACTCAGGATTCCTGTGAAGTAAAGGAAAGCATCACTGATTGATTTTCAGCTGCTGGATAAAGTCATAAAAGCACTATCTCTGGAACATCTTGTTTCTTCTTTTTTTTAATTTAATTTAATTTTATTTGTGAACATACTGTACAGAGGGTTACAATTGCATGGGCAGGATAATGCATACATTTCTTACCAAGCATTGCAGCCTCCTCCTTTGTTTACCCTTCACATCACTTCCCAGCCTCCCCCCTCCCCCCCAATCCCAATCCTTCTCCTTCCCCCCTCCCCCCCCGCTCCCCCCCCCCGCTTCCCCCCCACACACCAAAGTTGTAAAGCTCATTTTGGACATGACAACTTGTACTTCTCATTGTTGCAACAGGTCCACCTGTATCCTTAAACAACTGGTTTTTCCTCATCTCCTCCACAAGTTATACTGACATCAAATATAGTGAAAGCAGGGGTTATACTGTGGGGGAGGGACATACAAAGCAACAAAGAGATAATCTTATAAATGCATTAGAAACACATGCATGAAAGAAAAAAAACATTAAAATACATATCTAAGGGTTCAATTTCCTGACATCACATTATCTGACCTTTTCTGCTTGACTCATACATATACTAGATTTTGCAAATAAGGGAAACCATGGGACCTATGTTTCTTTTGGCCTGGCTTACTTCACTTAATATAATTTTTTCCAAGTTTTTCCATTTCCTAACAAATGGGGCACACAATGGAATCTTGTTTCTTCTTAAGGGGAAAGAGATTTCCTCTGGAGACTGAGCAGAAGCTCCGGGGCCTCTTCTGAAAAGTGATCAGCGGGGAGGGAACTCCCTCTGTGGACCTGGAGAAGGGAAGTTCCAGCTCTTGTGGGCTGAGACATCCTCTGGGGTGTTAGTAGGCCCTGTGGAAACGGGTATGATCCCCACCGGTGACACTTGAATGTTCCACAAGGGATCAGCAGTGGCTCCCCTCTGGTGTCCTCTGGGAGGAGCTGCTGCCTGCGTCAAGCTGTCCATCGAAGGCCATTGACTTCAGCAGAGACTTCTGCAAAAAGCCTTTGATGATTCAGAGCTTCAAGGAGAGAGCTGCTATGGCGTGGGACCTTGGGTGAGCCATGATCACCCACTGAGGGCACCATGACATAGCAAGGCAGGCTTGCAGGTGGGATGCTGAGAGGTCCTTTGTGAACTAGGAGGTCACAGGCACAGCTGTACACAGGAGATCACCCACAGAAAGTTGAAGAAGCTCTCCTTCCAGCCCCTGGCCCTGCCTGCACAGACACCCACTGTCATCCACACAAACATCCTCACACCACAGAGCACTCAGGAATCCACCCCCCAAATCACCTCAAAGTACCAGGCCAGCACCCTGTAAGACGCTCCCGCCCAGATCCTCCCCAGTGGACACCTCCACTGAAATGCCCAGCTGACACCCCTAACCTGGATCTTCAACAGCTGACACTGTCCAGGGTCTGCCATGTCCAGGTCCTCCATGGCCAACAACCCCACCCAAACCTTCCGTGGCTGACACCTCCCTCCCATGTCTTCCAGAATCTCTCATGCCGTATGTCCAAAAGTTTCTTGTAATTTCACCCCTTGAACCTGGACCACAGATCAGAGTCCCCTGTCAGTGACACCTGACACACAAGGTACATGCCACCAACACATTCCAGAGACCCTTCCCAGTAACACACCAACACACCTGCATGTGCGTTACACACCTATACACACACACTTGCTCCTGTGTACACACAGTTTTCCTGTGTTCACACACACATTTTCATCTACATACTTATCGTTACCCCCACACATCTCTTATTAACACACACACACATTTATACACACAGATCTGTGTATACCCGGTCACTGTATACACATCCCCTGTGCACACAGAGTCACCTCTACACGTCCCTGTACACACACAGCACAGACATGATGCTGGCATACTAGCAGCCCCCTCCTCTCACAGAGGTCTCTTACCAACCCCCAGGCAGAACAGTCTCTGCACAGAAACCTCCCAGTGTGAAGGCCCCCAAGGGTCCTCACAAAAACCCCCATGGGTGCACACTTACTGACTTCCCAGATGCCGCTGAAGA